AAACATTTTCTGTAAAAAATCAGCGAACAAGTTGAAGATTTTTTCAATGTGTTATTCTTCTTTTGTCAATTTTTTTTTCAATTTGTATTATCTAATTGAATTCAGTAAATTTTTTGTGAACAAAATAAAAAATAATTTTTCACTATATACAAATTTTCACCAAAAAATTAAATAAGTGGGAAATACGATGTTAACTGACATCTACCTTTCAACTCCAGGGCCGACATCGTGGTTCAGCTGGAAGATGCGAACACATTTGAACAAACGAAAATTACCGAAAAACCCTAATGGGGCTCATTTCAAAGCGTGGAACTACTTCTTTCCTGTCTCAATAATCCGTCAAATGTACAATCAGAAAAATACCAAATATAAAGGGTGGAAAATAGTAGAGCGAATGGGACTCTTAGTAAGAAAAGAATTTCTATCCTTCCAGAAATTCTTCCCAAACATTCGAGATACCTTTAATCGCTTTTGCAGGTCATGATATCGATCATAACTCACGGATAAGAGTACAACCCGATTTCATATTTATATAACCATCGCATGATTTAAGTTTTTTTGGTGTCTTGGTCACTTTTTTAATATTTTGGACATTATTTGGCATATTTGTTTCTAAGGAGGTAGAAAACCTCTTCGCATAAAGTTTGAAATTTTCAGAGTAGGGCCCATTTTGGTTTTGACCATATTCATTAATTGATTTGGCTAAAAATTGTATTTATGCTACCCTGGGGTAGGGAACCATCATACAGATAATTGCCACACAGGAATTTATTTAAGTAAAGTCCCTACATTGGAGTATCTCCAAGTCCACTTTCACATCTAATTGGTGGTCAGAAAAGAAAATTTTGTTTTTTATTGAATTTGTAACCCCCAAGAGAATATTGGTTGGGCCACGTTTTGTTATAACCCTTATATAAATGTATCCCTGATTTCAGCTGTGACCGTGGTCTTGGCCACGTTTTTCAACTGATTTGGCCATTATTTGCTGTATTTAGGCTACTTTGTGAGTAGAGAACCGTCTTACAGAAAAATGTCAACATACGTAAATATTTTGGTACAGTCCCCATATAGTCCCCAGGCCCGCCGATCTATAGTGATGTTTACCGATTGGCGGACAACAACGCGGGTATTGTTTAATCGTCATTGAATTTTACTATGAACAAGAACATAGACTTTTTGGGGACTCTAATGCGCAATTTGAGGTGCTATGGTAATGGGTGTAAAAGCGTAATTAACTTTGACTATTCAGAAATTATTTTGATTAGTCGAATCAATATTTATATTAAAATTTGTTCACCTTTATGAGCTAGATTTGTGAAATATTATGCTATGCTAAATTTGCATTAAAGACTAAAACTACGGGCCGGCAACGCGGACAAATCCGAGGAGAAATGTGACAAAAATCGTCAAAATAACGAATTTCGAGAGGTACCGTTATATGGGGACTATACCAAAACGTGGACCATTTTCAATACCAACCATCCTATACACAGTACAAATTGTTCTGCTAAATTTTGAAGCTCTACGTCAAATAATGTGGACTGTATCGTAATTTAAATAAACAGACATACAGACGGAGTCTATGACGAACATTTAGGGATGTTACAAACGGAATGAAAAAGTTAATATACCCTCCTTTCCAAGGTGGGGGATATAATAAGCATTAAAGACTAAAATTACGGGCCGGCAACGCGGACCGGGCCAGCTAGTAATAATATATATTTTTGGTATGTGTCCTGTTGACCTACACGTATGTCGCATTGAATATTACATATATTCCCTGATACGATTTAATTTATTTACTCTCATGCTCCATAAATTTTAAATCAAATTATACATCTGTTACTTATGGTTTGTTTAAATAATATTAAAATTCTTCCAAAATACGTAAATTGGAATACGTGTTTACGAGGGCAGTCTGATTTTAAGACGCTTCTATTTACAAAATTGGATCCAGCACCCGATAGTTACAACGGTCTCCATTCTTTTGCAAAAAGAACTAATTTCTCATAATAGTATGTATTTTATTCGCAGAAACCCAAAAAATTAACAAAACAAATTACAATTAATAAGTTCGGCCTGGCCGAACTTGTAATACCCTCCACCTTAGAGTAAAGGAAACATTTTTATATAAAAGTATCTGCATTCACTGGTCTCAGCTCTGCAATAATTACACAAATAGCATTCCCACCTGTCTCAACATTTTGTTTCACTTAAAACTTCATATACCAGTAAGACCTTTTGCATAATGCAGTTAAACTTGTCAAAAAACCATAAAGTGAGTGAGGCCGTTATATGCCAAAACGGGAACCTCTATAGACAATTTTATACTTCTAGGATTGTCATTTATCAAATCTTCTAAAATACCAAAACATACAACAATTATGTGGGTAAATGTGACTAGGATTATCAAAATACCGAATATCGGTGGGTATCGTTATATGTGCGCTATAGGAAAACATGGAATTAAATATTCAATGATCTGCCACCAGGCTAGAACCCATTATGAACTAAAAATACCAATTTTTATCAAAATATCGAATATCGGCAGGTACCGTTATATGGGGGGCTATACCAAAACGTGGACCTAAACATACAATGTTTTGCAACACGAGCTACAACCCATTACGAACTAAAAATACCAATTTCTGGACAAAACCCTTAAAAAATGAGCAAAAATCATTAAAACACTGAATTTTGGGAGATACCGTTATATGGGGGTTATACCGAAACGTGGACCTATACATACAATGTTTCGCCACATGAGCTAGAACCTATTATGCGCTACAAATACCACTCTTTAGGCAAATCCATGAAAAAATGTGGCAAAAATCATCAAAATACCGAATATTGGGAGGTATGGGGGCTATACCAAAACCCGGAACTATACATACGATGTTTCGCCACACGAGCTAGAACCCATTATATTCTACAAATACCAATCTTAAGGCAAATCCATGAAAAAATTTGGCTAAAATCATCAAAATACCGATTATCGGGAGGTACCGCTATATGGGGGCTATACCAAAACATGGACCTATACATACAATGTTTCGCCACACGAACTAGGACCCATTATGACCTACAAATACCAATTTTCAGACAAATCTGTGAAAAAATGTGGCAAAAATCATTAAAATAAAAAAAATCATTAAAAGAGGTACCGTTATATGGGGACTATACCAAAACGTGGACTGATATATCTCATTTTCAATACCAACCGTCCTAGACACAATACAAATTGTTCTGCTAAATTTTGACGCTTTACGACATATAACGTGAGCTGTATCGTAATTTCAAGAGACAGAGAGACAGACGGGCAGACAGACAGACGCACATCGTTAAATCGACTTAGAATTTTATGCTGATTATGAATATATATACTTTATGGGGTCTACGACGAATATTTAGGAATGTTACCAAGGTAGAGGTTATAACAATTAAGCGACACATTTTTATACCCTACAACACCATATGTTGGGGGTATTATAAGTTTAATAGGGCCAAAAATTATGTAACACCTCGAAATATTGATTTCTCCCAAAGTATATATGGATCTTCCTATCTTGCCGAGCTGAGTCGATCTAGCTATGTATGTCCGTCCGTCCGTCTGTCCATGTTAATTTGTAATCACTGTACAGGTCGCAATTATGGCCCGATCTTCACGAAATTTAAAATGCAGATGGGATTAGGTCAGAATAGAGCCCTATTTCTTTTGGAGATGATCGCATAATATTTAGGGGTTGAAATGGACCAAATACTGTAAAATTTCCTGATTTTACAGTTGCTCTACAGGTCACAATTATAGACCAATCGAAGCAAAAGTTAGCATGGGGCTAGAGCTTAGGGCTGGACAGAAGTCTTCCAATTTTGGTACATAACATTTGTGATCAATAAAAGTAAAAATTTCCATTAAACCGCGAATACTTTTAATCCCGGTGAAATCACAAATTGACGAAAAGGTCAATTCTGACCGTTACGTTGATGCCGAAAGTAAATGTATCGGATATATATTGCGAAATATATACAATGTATATATACAAAGGAAGGGAATGTTAGCTAGAATGCTTATATCTCAAGAATGGCTGTACCGATTTTGACAAAATTTCTCAATTCAGAATGCCCTCTTGGTATAAAGGATCAAAATCGCATAAAATGATGCCAATAATAATGTTAATATAGATTTTATAGTATTTTGTGACATTTTTTTTATTTTTTAATATTTTTTATCGCATGCGATTTTTTCAATTTGACTTTGAATATTGAAGTGTATATTTTGTAATATTTTTCACCTTACAACACAGCTTGGGGTTATTATATACAAATTGCAAAATATTCACAAGATTAGGGTTAGGCACAAAAGGGCTAGGCATAATGTTTTCAGAGATGTCCCCAATATATTTAGGGGTTGAAATGGACCAACAAAAAAATGTTCCTGATTTTGCATTCGTTATAAAGGTCACAAATAAGAACCAAAGGACACGAAATCTCGCATGAAGTTGGAGTTTAGGACAATTGGTAGAATTTACCACCACTTTTTTGCGAACAAAATGAACCAAAAACAGAAAAATATTAATTAATTGAAGCCAATCGACATGCCTGAGAAGAGAGTTAAGGACAGGAAAGAATTCTAGCAATTTGGATGACCACTGGATTATATTTAGCTGTAAAATGGACCATTACAACTAACAGCACAAAGGAGTGCCTAAATATTGGGAAAATGTCCCTGGTCCAAATACTAGGGGTGATATCTGGGCAGTTCTTCGTGACATAATTATAAAAGCGAAATCTTCCAAAATGGACAAAAATGGGCTTCTGACATATTGTAGTGTTGTAGGGTATCACAAACTTCTCACATTGACATATCCACCGGACTTATCTTTACTTTACTTACCTTTCAAAACCTTATTGAACGAAGTGTTGAATTTTAACAGCGTAGGACTAAATATTGTAACAAATGTTCAATATTGTATATGTAAATTTTCTGAATTCTACAAGGATTACAAAAATATCTGTTTGCATTTTAAATGCTTTGCTTTATTTACTTGTCATCATTTGTTCGATTTTCAATTCAATTTGATATGTTCACCCTTGGGTTGGAAACCCTTCTCATCGGCAACATATTCAACAGTATAAGTCTTGCCATCATGATGATCCTTCCAGGAGTAAGAACCATGGACAATGATGGCATGTTTGCTTTCATGATCGTGTTCATCACCGGGGAATTCCTTGAGTTTACCCTCCTCGTGGAACGAGGTGCCATCACTGGTCTCAGCTCTGCAATAATTACACAATTAGCATTCCCACCTGTCTCAACATTTTTTTGCTAGTCCTGAATACTTACACAAAATGATAACCATCATGATCAACAGTGGAATCCAACTTCACAATTTCGGCATGTTCATCGTGGTCAGGAGCTGGAGCGGCAAAGGCAACGGCAAAGAGAGCGACACAAACAATAAGGAATTTCATGGCTAATTCTTTTTCAAAAGCAAACGATTTTATGAATATGAAAAGCAAGTGAACTGGATGTTTTATACCTTTAGCCACTCTGGTATATGGGTGGAAACACGTTTCCATCTCCATAATATAGAACTTGTTCCAATAGGTAATCATGGTGCCTTTCAAATTTCAAATTATTGAAGGAGAACAAAAAACAAACGGAATTTATTGCATTAAATTGCTGATTGTAAAATTTGTTATATGATATAACTGCTTAGCAAAAATACTCATTACAAATCAGGTTACCAATCCATTATTTTGACAAGAGCATGTCGCACAAAACAAGTAATTATTTTCTTGTTTTATACTTCTTCTTTCAGAGCAGTAGTCGAAACTGTATTTAGTGGCACGGTGCATTGAGATTTTGAATTTCATTTTTCTGGTCAAATTACATATTTATTTTTATCACCGATTTCTGAATTATTTCTGGAATTCGATCGAAGACATATTGTGTTAAATGGATGTACCATCACAAAATTTCATAATTAAAATAAAAATCTCAATTAAAATAAAAATAGAGCTAAAATCTTGACTAGGGATGTAAAGTACGAAATTTAGTATTTCGGAAAGGAGAAAAAATAACTGGAAATCTGAAATTTAGAATGAGGGTCTTTGAAGTTGTGTAGAATACTCGAAGCAAAGGGTTTTTCAGAAATTCGAACAATAATTGTACCAAAAGTACTAAAAAAAACTACATTTGGTACAATTTGAAATTACAGGGTTAGATGAAAATACTGCAACCAACTTCAGATTGCTGTCATTTCCAAGCCACTCGTCCGACATCTGTTAAAATTATACCACTGACAGCTATTGTTTACAAGCGTACAAAGGCATTTTGGTGAGAATTTTCCAGAAAAAAGTTATTCGTGATGGAATTTAAGCGTAGTAGTGTGATTTCTTTATATTTGGCTGGAAAACCACAAGTGGCTATCGTTAGAGCACTCCAGCATTTAAATGTGAATAAATCTTTTGTGTCTCGTACCATCGCTCGTTACCGTGATACTGGTAGCGTAGCCCGACTTCAAGAAAGTGGACGGAAAAAAAAGAGCAACATCAGCAGAAATTGTTCGAAAAATAAAGAAGCGACTTGATCGAAACACGCGTCGCAGTGGCCGAAAAATGGCTCGTGAGCTGAACATATCGCAATATTCCACTCGGCAAATATTGAAAAATGAGCTCGGGGTAAAGCTATTAACATTTCAAAATGTGCAAGAACTTGCACCGCAACGAGAAGAAAATAGACTCAAGAGCTAAAGAGTTGCTTCGCTTGGCTGAAAGTGGTGAACTGCCTAAATTGGTTTTCTCCGATGAGAAAACATTCGTTGTCCAGCAGTTTGTAAACAAACAAAATGATCGTGTTTACTTGTCAAGGAGGTCAGCCGAAAATGTGCACCTTCGGTTGGCCACCAGAAAAGAACTCAAGCACTGGCCATGGTGATGGCTCTCCGCTTGTATTAATCGACAGTGGCATCAGAATAAATGCTGAATATTATCGCGAAAATATTCTGGAGTGTGTATTAAAGCCTTGGGCACGCAAACATTTTGGCCGCAAATCTTGGACATTCCAATAGGACTCAGCACCTTCGCACTCAACACACTCCACCCAAGAATAGTTACAAAATGAGGTTCCTCGCTTCATTTCCAGCGCACAATGACCCCAAAATCTCCGGATATCAATCCGTTGGACTATTGTGTCAGGAGTTTTTTGGAAAGTAAGGTTAGCACTAAAAAATACCAAAGCGTTGATCACCTCAAGCAAGCGCTTCGCCGGGAATGGACCAAAATACCGCAGGGCAACATTCGGGCAGCGTGTGACGGTTTCATTGGCCGTTTGAGAGCCACAATTCGTGCCAAAGGTGACAAATTCGAACAAATCTGAACTTATTCTAAAATTTTATGCTTTTTCCAACATTTTTTGCTTTCATTCAATAAAATTAAAAAAAATAATTATTATGGCGTTTGGCTTTGTTGCAGTTTTTGCTTTCATTGAATTTTTTGCTTTCATTCAATAAAATTAAAAAAAAATAAAAATTATGGTGTTTGATTTTGTTGCAGTTTTTTTTATCTCACCCTATATATACAATATCATGTATCGAAGAAGGGTATGTTAGTTAGAACGCTTATAAGTCAAGAACCGCTGGACTGATTTTCACAATTCTCATCCATTGAGAAAGGAATAACATCTAAGAAAATCGCCTAAATATATGCCAAGAAAAGAGTAAATACTTTTTGTTACATTTTTTCAATTGTCGCATATTTTTTATTGCATCCATTTTTTTAATTTGATTTACAATTTTGAATTGAACATTTTCTAAAGATTTTCTACACCCCCAACACTATGTGTTGAAGTTATAATATACAGGTCGCAATTATCGTCCGAGCCTCACAAAATTATGCATGGTGGAAACGTTGGTGTCAGAATAAAAGCCAACTGTTATGGGGATGTACATTTAGGGATTGAAATGGAACAAAAAAATAAGATTTTCCTGATTTAGATTTTATCTACATGGGAAGAAACTTAGGGACAGGGAAAAGTCTATCATTTTGGATGACCATTGGATCACGACTTTTGTGCATTTATTTCAAATACCTAACAACACAGCGGAGTGCGTACATAGAGGCAGGGCTCTATGACATTATTTCGAAATCGAAATCTTCCAAAATGAATTTGGACATAAGGGGGCCAATAGATTGTAGTGTTATAGGATATCACATGGTCGGCCCGCACGGCTATAACCTTTGGTTACATGTTTTCTCATAAATGTGCCTATATATGTTATTATGTTTTGTATACGGAAACTTTTTTTAGCAGTATCCTCTGAAAGGTTCTGCAACAGAGCTTTGAATGATAATCTACGGCAATTATTTCATATTTCAAAAAAATGTTGCTCAATCCTATGAAGAACGTATAGTTACATGAAGCTGTAACTATATAAATAAAACTTTTGCATTATGAATAACTCGTCTCCTTTATTACAATTATTTTCTAATTTTAGTATGTAATCTGTGGAAGATGATCGCCAGTGGGTTGGAAACCTTTCTCGTCGGCAACATATTGCACAGTATATACCTTGCCATCATGATGATCCTTCCAGGTGTAGTCACCGTGAACAACAATGGCATGATGGGGTTCATGATCGTGTTCATCACCAGGGAATTCCTTGAGTTTACCTTCTTCGTGGCGTTCAGTGCCGTCACTGGTTTCCAAGCTGCAAGGAGCGAAAAGTTTAAAATAATTATTTTGTAATGAAAACAATGTTTTCTTTGGAATTACACAAATTTATAGCCATCATGATCCACAACAGAATCCAGTTTCAAAATTTCAGCATCTTCATGATGATGGTGATCATCATGGGCAGGAGCAGCGAAAGCCATGACGGCAAGCGTGGCAAAAACAATCAAGAATTTCATAATGACGGCTGGCTGGTTGATGTTGTTTCCAAAGAAGTAGGCAACTTAATGCATAATCCCATGAGTGATGTCAATCATTTTATATCAATCCTCTCCATTTCTAGACTACTGCCCTTTTTAGCTATGTTTCATTATTTTTATTATCAAATAATTTTATAAAAAATATGATATTGTCCCAAGTTGATCCATTAAATTATTTTGCAACTAGTTCCAATCATTGAATTTTCACACTTTGCCTTTTAGGTGTTCGAAAGCATCTCTAATGTTCTTTTTGTTGCTGGTTTTTTTATTGCCCATCTACTGTTCTAATTAAATGCAATAATTAATATGTTTCTGCTTTAATCGATGTCTATTTTGATGGCACGTGATGAATATTTATTTGGGATTTATCGATTTCTTAAATTTTGTATGAGAGCAAACTAGTTTATAATAATATTATTTTTTAAAGATTTATGTTGAAATAAATCGTATTGAATATTTGATTCTATCGGTTATGGTTGTGGAAATTGATTTATAACTTGTATACCCCACAACAATACTTTTCAGAACCTGTTCAGACTTAGATATAGCACCCATATATAATTTCCTCTAATCTGTGGAAAATGATACACTAACCATGCTACGTTTGCAAATTAGCTTACATTTTGGATTATGCCATGAAGTTCAGATTAGAATAAAGTCTAGACCAAATGTATTCAGGTACCGCTATAGTCTTTACAAAGTTCTAATATACACACAGCAAGGATATTTGTTATAATATACGCTCAATAGCAAAGTCGCATGGAGCAAAAAATATCTCCGTAAAATTGATTAAGATTACGATATAGCTCCCATATATTTGTTCTATCGCATTTCAAAATATAAAAAAACAGGTAAGTACAGGCTATAGTCATGCCGGGCCGACAATGTGATACCCCACAACACTACAACATGTTAGAAGCCCTCTTATGTCCAAATCCATTTTGGAAGATTTCGCTTTTGAAATTTTGACCAGTGACATTTGCCCAATATTTACGCACTCCGTCGTGCTGTTAGTTGTTGTGGTCCATTTTATAGCTAAATATAATCCAATGGTCCTCCAAAATTCTAGTCTTATTCCCTGTCCTTAACTCTTTTCTCAGGCGTGTCGATTGGGTTCAATTATGCGATCAGGATTTTTTTCTGTTTTTGGGTCATTTTTTGCGATCATCCCCAAAAGCAAAAGGCCCATCTGTATCTCTAAATTAAGACTCATCTATATAATTTGCTTGTCTACGATATTTGGATATATTCGTCAACGAAATCAGTATAAAAAAGCGAGAAGTTCGCCTTTTGTGTATTTCGGATATCGACTGTAAGTAATGTTTTTCACACAAAAGTAGTGGTCCATTCTACCCGCTGTTCTAAACTCTAACTTCATGCGAGATTTCTTGTCCTCTGGTTTATATTTCTGACCTTTATAGCGGTGGCAAAATCAGGAACATTTTTAGTTGTTGGTCCATTTCAAACCCAAAATATAATGCGGACTTCTTTGAAAACAATAGGCCTAGCCCTTCTGAGCCTAACCCAACCCTTGCGAAAATTTTCGTGAGGAACCTGTGTTGTAAGGTGAAAAAATATTACAAAACAAACACTTCAATATTATAAGTCAAATTGAAAAAATCGCATGCGATAAAAAATATGAAAATATAAAAAAAATGTCACAAAATACTACAAAATCTATATTAACATCATTATTGGCATATTTTTTCGCTATATTTTTAGATGATATTCTTTTATGCTAAGAGGGCATTCTGAATTGACAAAAATTTTCAAAATCGGTCCTGTCATTCTTGAGATATAAGCATTCTAGCTAACATCCCCTTCCTTTGTATCTACAAATTGTATATATTTATGTTATGATATATTTCATTCCATTAAATATTGCCCGATGACCATCAAAATTGGAAGACTTCTGCCCAGTCCAAGCTCTAGCCCCATGCTAACTTCTGCTTCGATTGGTCTATAATTGAGACCTGTAGACCAACTGCAAAATCAGGACATTTTTCAGTTTGTGGTCCATATCAACATAAATATTATTCGATCATCTCCAAAATCAATAGGCTTCTGTTCTGGCTCTAGCCCCACATCCATTCTAAATTTCGTGAAGATCGGGCCATAATTGAGACCTGTAGAGTGATTACAAATTAACATGGACAAACGGATGGACGGACATACATAGCTAGATCAACTCAGTTCGGCGAGATAGGAAGATCCATACATACTTTCCTTTTGGCCTAATCAAACTTATAGTTCGGCCGGGCCGAACTATTAAACCCATCCAATATTTTGAAGGAAAAATGTCCGAAAAATTCTATCAAAAAATACAGCTCAAAGGTAGTATCCAATACGAACTTAAAATATGAAATTTTAAACAATTCCTGCAAAAAAATGTCGCTAATATTATATCGTCAATAAATGGCCTGTATGAAAACGCGGACCTGCATTGAGAATTTTTCGTCATAGGCTATAGTACCCATTACGAACTTTAAATACTAAATTTGAAACAATTCCTGTCTATAATGTACCGTTATATAGGGCTATACGAAGACGTGGGTGTTTTATCCAAGAAGATAGAATTCGGAATCATGGTACGTTACCCGTTTGTCTCTCAATGCCATCCTCAACATATCCAAATTGATAACGTGAAGTTTTTTACATATTATTTGATCGTCTGTTAGAAACCTTTCCATTTAACCAAATTGTGTTTCTATTCTCACCTGATTTTGTTTAAAAATAATATATATTTTGCCAAACTATTTCAGTTTTTTTTTCTATAACCGGCTTCTCTAATCCTCCTAATGTGAACTATTTTTTTTTTAATTCGAGAATTTATCATAAATAATAAACTATTTGTCAATAAGTTAATGCGCAAACTAGGGCAAACTAGTCCAGGAATTAATGGATCAACTAAAGAATTTTATTTTTTTTTTTTTAATTCAAAGTTTCTTAAATTCGGAAATTGTATAAATTGTTTGAAAACACTTACGGGCGCATGCAATTAGTATTCTACTTCCTTGGAAATAACATCAACATAACCAGCCGTCATTATGAAATTCTTGATTGTTTTTGCCACCTTCGCTGTTATGGCTTTGGCCGCCCCAGCCCATGATGATCATCATGAACATGCAGAAATCTTGAAACTTGATTCAGTTGTTGATCATGATGGCTATAAATTTGTGTAAGTCCAAAGAGATTTTGTTTTGCGATTAAAAGTTATTTACATAAATCTCTTTGGGTGATTATAGCTTGGAAACCAGCGACGGCACTGAACGCCACGAAGAAGGTAAACTCAAGGAATTCCCTGGCGATGAACACGATCATGAATCCCATCATGCCATCATTGTTCACGGTGACTACACCTGGAAGGATCATCATGATGGCAAGGTATATTCCGTACAATATGTTGCCGATGAGAAAGGTTTCCAACCTACTGGCGATCATATTCCTCATAACTAAAATGAAAAGTTGTTTATTTTCTTGCTGGAAGAGCAACAAATAAATTGTTATTATTTTTTGCAAATATAATCAGTGTTTGTTTTGTGTTTGGAATTATTTTCACCTAAATCCTAATTGAATGACACAATATACAATTGAAATCAAGGTTATTTTAAAATAAAAACAGGTTATTTCATTCCCAATGGAAACAGGTTACGGCGCATTTGAAAGATTGAATCTCTGAAAACTAAGATCAATTTAATTCATACCGTTATTAATAAAATTTCTTGAAATCATCTTTAAACGGAAATTCCAATTTCTTTGATAATATTATCACACTGTTATAGGAGGTTAAACGATATTTAGAATTCATAATTTACGAACAACAACGGAATAAGTGAGCGGAAAGCCGGCCTAAATACTCATTTGAATGATATAATCTAAGAAAAATCGACTTTCATCTGTAAAGTGTATTGAGTTGATGTTGGTACAACACATTGGACCATAACGAACTTTATGGAATACATCACTATAAATGTTTGATATACCACTTCATCGTCTCATATTAAAGAAATTGGTCATTGACAGCCTAGATTCGAATTAGAGAAAAACATTTTGGGCCAAAAATTATGTAACACCTCGAAATATTGGTTTTCCACGTAGGAAAGTGTATATGGATCTTCCTATCTCACAGAGCTGAGTCGATCTAACTATGTCTGTCCGTGTTAATTTGTAATCACTCTACAGGTCGCAATTATGGCCCGATCTTTACGAAATTTAGAATGGAGGTGGGGCTAGGGCCAGATTAGAAATACAAACATAGATTTTGTAGTATTTTGTGAAATTTTTTATTTTTATACCCTCAGAACATTTTCAATCGATCTAGCGATGACTGTCCGTCTGTCTGCCTGTCAAGCTGGCTGGTGCGCACGATAACTCTCGAAAGGAGTATCCGATTTGGTCCAAACTTGGTACATCGTAATATTTTTGTTAAACTCAGGTCGAGTTCGGAGATGGACAATATCGCTCCACTCCTTCTGGTACCTCCCCCAAAAAGGTCGACATTTTAATAAAATAAATTTTTTGCACAGGAAGAGAAAGGATAATTCAATTTTGCTCCAACTTTGCAAATCCTAATATTTGTGTCAGTGCTAGGCCACTCCATCAAGTAGCTCCCCCACAAATGGTCAAAATTTTGAATAATTACAACTCTCATAAAGTGTGATGCAAGAGTCCGATTGTCTTCAAATTTCACACATCCCAATTTTTATGTTAACCTAAGGTCTAGTTTTAAGATAGACAGAATATATCGATCCACTCCTTTTGGCACCTCCCCCACATATGGTCGAATTTTTGAATATCCCTTAAGCTCATAAAACGCGAGATTAACATGCGATTCCATTTAGACTTGGCATATCTAAATATCGGACCATTCCTTCTGGTACCTCCCCCACAAAGGGTCAAAGTTTAGAATAACCAAAACGTTTATAAAATCTGAAATTAGCATCAGGATCTCTTTATATTTCACACATACAAACATTTTTGCTAACACAAGATCAGTTGTGAAGATGGGATATATCGGTCCTCTCCTTCTGGTACCTCCCCTACAAAGGCTCAAAATTTTGAATAACCATGAAGCTCATAAAAAGCGAAATCAACATCCGATTCCATTCCAGTCTTGGTACACCTCAATATTTCCATCAAAACAAGATAATAGATGGTAGAGATTAGACCATTTCTTTTGCTACCTGCCCCACACAGAGTTCAAAATTTGGAAAAACAAAAAGCTTAAAGAAAGCATCAAACTTTCTTCAAATTTCACACATTCAAACATTTTTGCTAACACAAGATCATAATTTAAGCTCTATTCACTCTTCGGATTGTTAGTTAGCCCAATATGATTTTTTAATAAAAAAATTCTTTTAATTTGAATCTCTCTCATCTAGATAAAATCTGCAGACACAAAAACTAGATGGAACTTTTTGTTTTGTTGGTAGCCATTCTGAAAACGAAAAAAAAATATTTTGGTGGCTCACTATATTTAGATATTAATGTTGATTGTGTTAAAATAGATTGCAAATATTATGCGATATCATTTTTAAAATTTCAAAATGACTCATATATTAAATATGATTTTATTATTTATTCTAGAATTTAGTTTTTTTTAGAACATTCCATTTTCAGAAATCATTGAAGCCAGCTTTTTACTTTTATCGTCATTCATAGACGGCTGTTAATTTAAAACAAATTTTGTTTGTTCGCATAAAATTAAGGTAGACATTCGATTTTAATTAAAATCGAAACAGGTTTGGAACTTTCTTTCGAATGAAATCGAAGAAGATTTAAGCGCCGGAGTTAACTTCCGTACCGCCGAAAAATCAGAAAACAAGAATTATTCTGTTTTAGATGCCAAATACAACTGATGCTTTATTCAAAAAATTCTTATATTTAAGCGATTTTACAATTATTGATTTTTCTTAGAGTTAACAAAGAACAAAGGAACATAAAATCTAGAGCTATCAAGAAAAATACTTAAGCTAAAAATTTGTATTGGGTACAGTAAAAGTAAACATTTCTTTTTGGGTTATTTCCGTCATAGTTTTATTACTAGTGTTGTTATTGTGATGTTGAAGTGGAGAATTATTGCTGACGAAATAATGTCAACAATATTGGTGTTAGCTCTTTGGTGCTTATGACAATGTTGTAACTAATAATGATGTTAATAATAATGATATTAATAATAATGATGTTAATAATAATGATGTTAATAATAATGGTGTTAACAATAATGATGTTTTTAATAAATGAGGTTGTGGTTGAAAATAATGAACTTAATAATAATGTTGTTTATTGGTGGCTGTAGGTAACTCCTCCCTCTCCAGAATGAAGTGAGGGCCAAAGGGGCTTCGGATCATTTGTAGCCAGAACTTCATTGTTGTTGTGGGTTATGGAGTAGATTAATTTTATAGGCTTTCTTATTACTAATATTATTGATAATATTATGATTATAGAACTAATTATACCAAATGCGGAATAAGAAATTGTTTTGTAATTGTCAGAGTCTGTTTGAAGAAATTCGATATTTGCTTTATTTTGGAATCTGTATTGATCTAATTTGGGTAATGTTAGTTCGTCTCTTATGGAGAGTGTTGTAATATTGTTTGAGAAGCTAGTTTGGAAGGTTATTGTGCTAATGTTTTCTTGGTGAATATTCGGTTTATCTGTATACCAGACATTATTAAATAAGATTTTGCATTCATTAAAATTAATAACAGAGGAAGACTTGATTGGTAGACTCTTAGTTACGTTGTTACATACTGTGGTTATGTTTCCTATTGGAGGGTTTATAAGCACTAGGTAATTTGGTTCTGGATATATTATGTCCGTAGTTAATCCTATGTCTCTAAGGTGACATGCCACCGTTTCTTCTCTAAGCAAAATTGATTTTAGGCAATCTCTATTTCTTTCGTATTGAGTTTCATAGTTGCAGTAAAATTTTTGTTCTATTTGTTTGCATCGGTTGTCGAAAAGATAAAGGTTATCATTGTTTATTAAAGCGTATTCACCGGTTATTATTTCTAAGGTGTTATTTATGGGGGTTTTGATTATGTGTAATAATTTAAATAGTTCATTAGAAATTATAGGAATTTGTATGTCAAATATTATGTTTGTGTCGTTATAATATGCTGTCAGTTGTAGTAATTCATATATGTTCTGGTGATATAATGTCCGTTGCATTGTTAAGTATGTTGTGTATTTCATTCAGTTCGTCAGTAGTTAATATTAATTTTGGGACGGTGTTAAGCCTTGCTAATACTACTGATTCTGCGATATCATTAAGGTGGTCGGTAAGTATATCTATGTTAAAACTGATTTGAAGTAAATTTTGCATTTGGATTATTGCATTAACCGAGGGGTTTATGGCATTTCTTGTCTGGTTTTGAATCATCATTATAGAACGTTCTATTAGGTTTTGTTCTTCATTTATGTGATTGGTAATGTTTTCGAATCTTGTTATCATTTTGTTATTTAACATCATTTGGTTTTTAAGCGTTGTTTTTATTTGGGTATTTCCTCTAGTTAAATTGTCAATGTTTTTATTTAGTTCTTCTGCATCTTTGTAGTCCATATTTCCCGTTATGAATTTGATTGCTGATCCTAAGGCATTTACAAGTCCCCGTTTTTTCCTATAATTTGGGGTTAATATATCCAATTTGGCTGAGAGATTATTCAGTTTCAGTTTCGTAGTTCTAAGTTGTGATGCTGTAAATCTTGTCTCCTCTATTCGATCCAAAGTTTGCTTTATAGTGTTAATATTGTCGTTATATGTTTTAAGGTTAATAACATGGATTAGATGTTGAAAGTCTGTGATTAATTTAGCATCGCCTAGTTGTAGTGGTATAAGTCCCTGAGTCTGCGTTATGTTTGTTATTGTGACGTCGGATTGTACAGGTACGAACCTAAAAGACAAATAGAAGTCAGTTTATGTAAGACGTTTTCTTTTAATTTTGGCTTTATGTAGTTTTTGGTTATTTGACGTTATCAGCGTCACTTTCTTGTTTTCCTTGACTACCCTCTTTGAGAAGCGAGGGGTCATTTTGTTCCTCCCTGATTCCCTTCTGTATATTGTCTGGTTTTCAGTTAAATCTTCTGGTTCTTCCCTATTTGCGTTTAGTTTTTTTATACGTTTGTCAGTGTCCATGGATAATTTATCTTTAATAATTTTGTGTAAGTCATTTTGAAATTCTTGTAGTCTATTTAAGTAGTCATGTTCAGAGTTATAGCTTAATGTCTTTTCGAAGTTATAAGTCCTACCATAGAAGAGTTCAAATGGGGTTAAATTTGTAGCACTATGGATTGCGTTGTTATAGGTAAAAATGACTTCTAATAGTATTTCGTCGTGATTTAGTGGTATTTCTGATGACTTATACTTTTCGTAAACTATTCTGTAGGTCTCGGTAATGGTTGAATGTAATCTTTCTACGGGAGAGTTTCCTGTACTTTGATGAAATGATGTATAATGTAAGGTTATCTGATGCATTTTACAAAAATCTTTTATAATGGATGCATTAAATTCAGCGCCCTGATCA